AGTGTTCCCGTGCTTTGTTCGAACAACTGCCTCTTGGTCCAGGTACAGATTTCTCAGAAGTACAATTAAGTGTTCTGGAATACTCATACTTCTTAATGTTGTCCATAGCTTGTCCCTACATATATTACTAAAGCAAAATTAACTGCATGGTTCCTACTTACCTATGTGATTTATACAATACCAAGAGAAATGCAACAATATAATTATAATGAAAACTGTGAGGATGAGTCAAAAGATATCTGCACTCTGGCTGTAGAATTTATTTTAATCAACTTTCAGAAAAGATAAATACCTGAGTTTTTGACATAATCTCCTTGTTTGTCAATACACTTTTGTCTATCTATCAACAAGCTTCATATTCCCTTATTTTAAAATGATTAATGCTGAGCTGTGAGCCACGAATGCACAGCTGTCTACACTTCTTCATCAAAGGTGAACCTTCATCCTCAAAGGGCTGCTTTCAGGGGACCATACAGGTGAAAGTCCAATGCAGCAAGATCAGGACTATAAGGAGGATGCTTTAACACCTCAAAATTAAGGTTTCACAGTGTCAACAGTGTAGGCAGAGGTTTGCAAATGTGCATTGTTATGCAAGATCACAATGCCCTTGGGTAGCAGTCCTCTGAGTTTAATTTGAAGTTTAGGCTTCAGCCATTCAGTGAGCATCTCACTGTAGTAAGCACTGTTGATTGTTGAACATGTTTCCTGATAGTATGCCAATACTGGCCCTTGAGAATCCCAAGAAATTGTAAGCATCAATTTTCCAGTTAATGGTTGACATCTGAACTTTTTCTTGGTCGGTTTCCTGAAAGTAAGCAGCAGAGTATGGAATGGAAATATTTTCAATCACTAATCAAAAGAATCAAAAGGAAGGTTAGATCAATCAATCTGGACATGACAACTACTTGTAAACTGAAAATTACCTGCTGACCCAAGTATTTCAGCCCATCCAAATAGACTTTCCATTCAATCAACAGCTGGTAGATGTCTTCCTTTCCACCCCATATCCTCACCACAAAACAAGACACAGACGTATCAAGATGGTCAGGCATTATTCCAAAATCAAGACTTCGCCACGTTGGATTCTGTCAATGGAAATGGAAACATGATTCAGAAAAGACTCATTTGTTTATAGAGTTATTTCAACTAAACTGTAAATCACTTGTTTACAGAAACCATAGACCTCATATATATATTAAACTGTAAGGCTGGAGTAATTTAAGAAGATATTCCAATCGACACAAAGAGAATAATAATGGTACATTTGAACTTTCCTACTTATTTATTATAGTCATTAGAAAAAGTATATATTCCAATGTTTAATTTATATGATTTCATATGGTTAATCATATTCAACATATACTATACAATTATTAAGAGACAGCACTGCATAATGCCCTCAAAGAGCTTCCAGCTTACTACTGTATTCAAACCTCTATTTAAATATATGGTTTCATGAAAGTTAAATAACATTATGCAAAAGGTTACAGAGTGCCAAATGAACTGGGAAAATATCATAGAAGCTGTGACAAGTAGTATTTCATCAGATTAAAATAAGGACTTCTAGGCAAAAGAAACTATACATAAAGATATAAAAAGATACAAAGAACTCAAAAATCTTGTATGTTTTGGCAAGGAACCAGTACTTTGTTGTTGTGTTGTTGTAAGGTGCTATCCAGTCAGTTCTCACTCATAGGGTCTTAAGAACAACACAGCGAAATACTGCCTGGTCCTGTACTATCCTCATAATTGTTGTTATGTTTGAGTCCATTGCTGTTGCCTCTGGGCCAATCCATCTCGTTGGGGGTCTTCCTCTTTTTCACTGACCCTCTACTTTACCAATTATGAAGTCCTTCTCCAGGGACTGGTCCCTCCTGATGTTGTTGTCAGGTGCCATCGAGTCGGAACCGACTCATAGTGACCCCATGCACAGCAGAACGAAACAATGTCTGATCCTGGGCCAACCTCACTACCGCTGCCACACTTGACGCCATCAATGATGCCACTGGGCTGATCCATCTCGTTGGGGGTCTTCCTCTTTTTCTCTGACCCTCCAGCTTACCCAGCATGACATCCTTCTCCAGCGACTGTTCCCTCTGGACTATATGTCCAAAGTATGAGAGATGAAGCTTAGCCATCCTGGCCTCCAAGGAGCACTCTGGCTGCACTTCTTCCAAAATAGATCTATTGGTCCCTCCTGATAACATGTACAAAGTATGAGAGCTGAAGTCTCGCCATCCTGGTTTATAAGGAGCATTCTGGCTGTACTTCTTCAGTACAGGGTTTCCAAAGCTTTTCATCTTTAAGGGAGCAGAAAACCTAACTTTTCTCTCACAGAGTGTCTGGTGAGCTTGAACCATGGGTCATGTGGTCTGCAGTCCAATACTTATACTATAGAACTACCATATATAAAGCTATTGAGATTACTAAAGCTAAGGTCAGGAGCACCTTAGCCCTCAAACTGATAACTTTGCTCTCGAACACTAGAGATCTTGTGCAGTAGAATTGCTTGATGCAATACATCATTTGATTTCTTGATTGCTGCTTCCACAAGTGTTGATAGTGGATCCAGGCAAAATGAAGTCTTTAACAACTTCAATCTTTTTCCCATTTATCTATCATTCATTGGTCCAGTAGTGAGATTTTTGTTTTTTCTTTTACATTGAGGTACAACCCATACCAAAGACTGTGGTCTTTGATCTCCATTAGTTAAGACTTTACTTTGGTTTTAAAAATAGGAAAACTCAACAATGCCCCAGAGACAACAGACAATTTTAGCTCACACAAAGAAACAAGAAAGGATGGCTCAAACAAATGACCAAGATGCAGAGCCATAAGTCAATTCTGGGAAGAAAAGAATGCAAAAGAATGATAATTATGTACCTTCAAAGGATCCACAGAAAGATTGAGAAAATCAAGAACACAATAAAAACCTTAGGAAAACACTACAAGAATAAACAGACAAAATAAATGCAAACTTTGAAACAATACAAAACCTGCAATTAGAAATCCAAAAGATTAAGATCTCAGATATGGACAGTACACTGAAATGGCAAAGGAGTATATGTGAAGCAATGAAAGCCCAAATTAGTGAGCTTGAAACCTTTCAAAACACTAATATGCTAAAACAATCAGAAAACAAAGAATGAAAAATCCAAATAAAGCCTAAAAGTTATGTGAGACACCATGAAGAGGAACAACTTACTGGTGATTGGAATTCTTGAACAAGAGACAAGCATAGAAAAAAAAAGTTCAAGAGCTGTTGGAAGAAAACTTCGCTAACATCATGAAAGGTATGAAGAAAAGCATGCAAGAAGCTAAATGAACCCCAAACAGACAAGAACCCAAAAGAAAATCACCAAGACATATCATAATCAAACTTTCCAAAATCAAAGACAAAGAATCCTGAGAGCAGTTATGTACAAAGAAGAAACAATAGGACTAAGCTCTAAATTCTCTGCAGAAAGCAAGAAGGCAAAGGGATGGCATATACAAAATACTGAAAGAAAAAGATTGCCAACCAAGAATCATATTCCCAGCAAAGCTGTTCCTCAAATACTCTAGTGAAATCAGAACATTTCCTGATAAACAGAAATTAAAGGAATTTTTAAGGACCAACTTTACAAAGAATGCTAGAGGGTGTTCTTTGGACTGAGAACCAACAACAGTAGACAGCAACCTGAGAGTACCATAAATGACAACAACATCCAGAACTCAATCCATATAGAGAAGTATTTCAAGTAAAATAAACCTACAAGACTGAAAATAGGGAGCCAGAGATAGCAAGATATAATGAAGTCAATTACAAAGTAATTACAAAGAGGGTAGATACAAAGAGGTATAGATACAAAACTTCCAAATGGCAAGGAAGTCAAGTAGATTTCAAGATAAACCAAACCATTTTAAGCAGGGAAAAAATAAATTATAGGGTAACCTAAAAGAAAAATAATATACCTGCAATGCAAAATAAAAAAAGAGGAAAATCAGAAAGATTTAGTAAACATGAACAAAACAGAAATTAAAATGGCAAAAAAACAAAAACATAAACAAAATGAACTCAGTCTAGAAAATTTTGTGGAACAAAGAATCCAGAAAAGCACACAGAAAAAATAACAATTTACACCTATTGATAATTACACTTAATGTCAATGGATTAAATGTTCCAAACAAAAGACATAAAGAGAAGAATAGATAAGAAAACAGGATCCTTCAATATGCTGTCTACAAGACACATACCTAAAAGATGGAGACAGCCTAAATGCCCATCAACAGAAGAATGGTTATACAAACTTTGGTACATACACACAAAGGAATACTATAAAATGCTGAATAATGATGAATCTGTGAAACACCTCACAGAATGATTAAACCTGAAGGACATTATGCTGAGTGAAATTAGTCAATCACATAAGGGCAAACATTATATGAGACCAACATTGCAAAAAGTAAAAAAAAAAAAAAAAAAAAAGAGAGAGAGAGAGAGATTTTCTTGATAAAACAAACAATCTATGATGGTCATGGTGGGGGAAGGTGAGGGGAAAGTATTCAT